AAAAATAGCTAATAAATGTTTTACTTTATTTGACTGGATTGCAGTAGCCATAGATTTATCATAATATTAAAGTTGGCCATATTTTTCAGTCTTTGTTTTAAGACCTACTTCAAAACTTGAACTTCTGTCTATTAATTAATAATTTATTAATGTAGTGTTTGTGAAATTGGACTAAATGCAGTTCTGGGGCTACTAGTAACTAGTGTACCTGAGCTAGATTCATATGAAATCACAATGCTGAGGGAGAGAGGAGCAGTTAGAGGTTAGGCAGGTCTGGTGTTTTAGTAGCCATAATGACACATGCTGATGTATGAACGCAGTTTATGTTTTATTTTTCTTTGAGTAATTATTATTATTATTATTATTCTTGCAACTTTAAGTTGGATTGTACATGCACTATATAGACTAGTAAGAGTGTGAAGTTTCCACTAAAAACATAAAAGAATTAGATGATTAAAATGTCAAATCAGTCAATTTCTTCGAGTGTTTCTTTAAGGTAGTTCAATGCAACTAAGTTTATACATATAAATTCTTTGAGTCCCCATTTTTGGGTTGAAAGTCTTTGCAGATCTGAGTTTTGGAATTTAAAACTTCAGAGTGTGCTTTAGGGCATGTGGTATATATATTCTTTCACTTTTGGCCATAAGAGGTTCATTTTATGTCCCTTTGTATATATATGTACTTTCAAGCATTTTAGAACATGGATCTTTGTATCTGCTTTGTAAAGAAACAGAATTTCCCATTTGTAATTATATCTCTATGAACCCTTATATTTAACTTTAAAAAATTAATGTCGTTGTCATGAATTTGAGTTTCCAGTAATTTTGATGTTTTGATATAGTTTTAAATTGTCAGGGTTATTCATTTTAAAGATCCTTGTTCCTAATGTACAGTGGATGCTTTTGTCAATTTCGGAAATATGAAAATCATTTGTGATGAAATGATAAAGGATATCAGTACAAGGATTGATCTTTCTGAACCAAATGGGTCTTTAAAAATGTCTCCATTTTCTGCTAGTTTGGTCGTAAAGTGTAGCATTAGCTGTGGCATATTGTGCTTATTTTTCTTGCTCAGGTAAGTGACAAATGCACAATGTACAATCATAAATGTTGCTTCCATCTGCTTGCCTGTCTACAGTTTCATCTCTTGTTTTCTTCAAACAGTCTTTTTGTCTGCCATCCCTTGTGAAATTAATTTTAGTTCAAAACTGCGGTGTTGGTATCATGCCTATTCGAGTCTTTACACAAAAACATTAAACTGATGGGTTTTTACAAAGAGAAATATATTGTGTGGTTATTGATATATATTGTTATCGTTCTGATACAGATCTGTCTTGGCAGTTGGATAAACAGAACTTTCTGTACGTTATACATGCCTTGATTGTTCACTGAAATAATAGTTACTCCTTGGGGTCCTTTCACTTTCATTCTTAACACCTGTCTGGTAACTAATTGATATTTTGGTGTTTAATGTTCAAATCGATTCAGTTTCTGTTTTTGCTGTTAGAAATAGTTCAGTTATTGCTGATTATGAAAATGTTTCATTTATAAATCAAAATTATGAATCATAAGCAAGGTGTCGTGCTATATTTTTAGACACATCTTTCTACTTCTCCCCCCCCCCATAACTCCCCCAACCTGATAGTCTGCCTAAGTTATATTGTTTTGCTTGCACTGTTTTTCAGAGATCGGCTTTTTTTAAATCCCAAAAATATCCCTCAGTCTGTTCAGTCTCAAAATCCTGATATGCTTCATTCTTACCAAGTAATGTGATCTTGCGGCATATTCAGAGTGCAGTTATCTTCTTGTGCTACCTGTTGGACCACTGTTGCATCCCCCCCCCCCTTCTTGAGCTTCTGGGTAACAATAATTACTTTCCAACATCCAGAAGGCACTGAAACTCACGTTGTTCTAGCTAGACATACCTGGCGTCCTTTTTCACAAGAGAACCTTTAGCTAATAATTTAGACTAAACCTCTATTCAACCAAATCTAGCCTAATTAAGTTTAAGATAAACCCATAATAGTTCACTTAAAATAACTTCAATGCCTCTTTTGTTTTTAAATCCAGTGCAATATTTCATTTATTAAAATAATCAAACTACTAATTATCTATCTTGTGTTGAAATACTAGTAGACTAAAATGTTTGCTCTAAAAGTTTAGATCAGTCTTTTGTGAAAATGGCTGCTGATCAAACCTTTGTTCGTTAATCTAAATCCTGTCTTAGACAACCTGTTAGATCAGCTCTGATTAGTTTTGTCATTATATCAGAAAATTATCTTTAGGGATGATATTATTGTTATAAATCCCTGGGCTGCTCTTGCAATTAAGACCTAAAACTCTTGAGACAGGTGAATTAAGGGGTGTTACTTGATGGGCCATGGGTCGAATTTCTTTTTATTATATATATTTAGAAAAATGCTGCTACTTACTGTCAGTTAGTTTACCTAATATCTCTATTGTGAAAAATGTCTTATTTCCCTTGCCAAGACTTATGTACAGTTTATTTATTTGTTTATTTAAAAAGTTAAAAAAGCCAGTAACTCTAATCATTTATTAATTCTTCCTAAATTCATGTTAATTTATATATTAGTATATATTTGTTATTGATGCATAACAAACACTGATGCACAACTTAAACTATAGGGTATGTACAGTACATGTCTGTCCTATTTTTAGACAAATTGATTTAATTTCAACAATTGGGTGAAATTTTGCACGCTCTAGTGGTTAGCCTGCACATGCCTCAGTGTAACTGAGTCGAGCAGGTGGTGGGCGCTCTCTCTCATTTCCATTTCATTTCAATATTTGATAAGGTTATGGTAATTTCTCTTAAAGTTTAGCGCTTAAGTTAGTATACCTTTGTTATTCCATTTAAAAAATTTTTTTACTCTTAGTTGCTTTCAAAATGAAAAGTATTACACACAACCATACTCTCCAGATCTTTTGAATGATGATTTTCAGATGGCTCTATTAAGGATAGTTTTAGAGAAAGGATGATTTAAGTTTGTTCAAATTTTGTGAGCAGTTACCATACTTTCCCTTAAATAAATATTAGGTACTAGGTTAGTTGACCCACCTTATTTTCTGTCCTGGCCATTCCCAATTCTTCATACTACGAAAAGAGATGTTTGTAAAAAATTGAGGACTCTAGTGGGTAGATGTGGAAACTTCTTTTTATAAAGGAGATTTGCTTCACTTTTGCATTGTCTGTTTTGGTTTTTGGTTTGGTATTTTATAAAGTAGTAACTTTTCTAAAAGAAAACTACTATTTTATATTTAAGCAAAGAATTATTTTTTTTTTTTACTTTATATCTTTTATTGAAATCAAATTGAAATGAGCATTTGGTTAAAAATTAAATGCTAAAAATGGAGCACACAATTAAAGCCAGTGGTCTCTTGGGGGAGGCAAGCTCACTGCTAGAACAGCCACTTATTTCCCCATCAACAAAAGCTGCTGCCTGTCTTTTTGATTGACATATGTTGAAGTGGAAAGCCTTGGGTGACATCTGTATTTAGATTGCACCATGAAACACAGTTAAGCATTTTTAAGTTGTAACTGCTATTGTGAAGTACCCTAGGCAAGAGAACTTGGGGACATTTAAAGATGAATGGTTCCTGAGGGATCTTTAATCTATGGGATAACTCATTGTTGACAGAAAACATTGTTGAGGTTGCAACATTTTTTTAAATTGAAGGATTGCTAAAGCTGCCTAAAGATCAGAAGCTTTTTTTTTTTTTTTTTTTTTTGGAAAATTTAAATATGACAGACAGGAGGGTATTTTGATAGAAAAAAAAGGATCCATCAGGCTTCTTTTAATTTTTGACATTGCTGATTGGTCATAGGAATCCTCTGTCAATTGATGGAAACTTCATGTGCCAGGAAAGGGCCTCAGAAAATTGGATTCATGAAGACTAATTAATAGTCGGTTTTCTTTAACAGAACTCACTTCCAATAGTTGTTGGAAGAGAAAAATTTTACTGTGAGATTAGGATGAGTGTAAGCAGGTAGAGCAGTTCTAAGAGTGGACTAAAGAAGTTATTTGCAGTGGCCTTCTTCAGTGAATTTGAAAGTGTAATGCATGTATCATATTGGACTCTTTTTGAGAAAACAAAATGCACAATGTCGCTGTTTGGAACTATGAGAGACAAGGTGATTGTAGTCTCTTGAATGGGTGGCCTCCACAAAAGGTAATTTTTTTTTTACCATTTATGTCTACTTTAATTATTCATAAAGTTATTTAGTGTTAGTGTTAACTTTACTAGTAGTATTTGGCTTCATTCACATGCAATGTCTATTTTCTAAATTCTATTTTCTATTCGCGGTATGTCTTATGATCACGGTCTGTGCCCTGAATATCCCGCAGCGTAATTACTGGCAGCGCGAGCCAGTTGCTATAAGTTACTATAAGTAACTGTCTCGCGCTGCCAGTAATTACGCGGCGGGATATTCAGGGCACAGACCGTGATCATAAGATAGCGCGAATAGAAAATAGAATTTAGAAAATAGACATTGCATGTGAACGAAGCCTTAGTGTTGGGTATAGATCATGTACTAGCAAAGGGATTTATTAAGGTACACGCTGTGGTGAGTGTTAAATTTTTATTCATCATTTTTTGAAATTTCATCACTTTCAGCTTAATTAACAAGGTATACCCTATCTTCAAGTTATATTCTGTTAACCCGTTGAGTTGAAACTTTTTTTTTTTAACAATTACTTCTGTAATGGAGATGGAGATTGATGCATTTCAAACATAATGGTAAAATTAAATTTAGAATTCGAAAAATAAGTTAATAAACCATCATGGTTTTCTCAGCAGTTTTGGATAGGATATATATAAATACCATGGTGATTTAGGAGAAATTGTTGAAATTTCTAGGAACTTATTTATATATTTGTTTGTTTATTATCATAATATTATTATTGGTATTGTTTTAATGTGAACATCATACATACATTTTCATATTCTATTTTGATTTAAAAAAAAGCCTGTAAAAGCATGATGGCACTTTCTTTATTTTTCTCCATAATAATAACTCATTTCTATCCTTAAATGTGATGTTCACATTGAAGCTTTTCTCACATGATTAATTCTATATACATATATGCAGTTTGATATGAATTCTTTTTTCTAAGATTTCTCAAGTTTTTTTTTACCCATATGTACGGTTGAAGTATATCAAAAATTTAATTCACTTAGTGTTATGCAATTTTTGATGTGGGTTCTACGTGTCTCCGGGTAGCAGTAGTCTATATCTGCATGCACATGTGAGGCATACCAGCTCAGACTCGACTGCGTCACTTGATAGTAAATCTAGCCTTTAATCGCTTGGATTTTTAGACCGAGAAGGTAGGGAAAACTGATGCCACCTGTTCTGTGTGTATGTACTATGAATATGTTTCTGTGTGTGTTTGTGCATGAATTTGTGGTGATCCAAAAAGGGTTTGTATATATATATATATGTGTTACCACATACAGTGCAAACAAATCAACAGGTGGTTAATGTAAAAGGTCACAAAAGAAAAGGTGATGATGATTTCAGGTAACATTTTATTTTATAACTCAAAGACTACTATATATAATAGTTGACTATTTTGATAAAGATTTACATGGATTTCAGCTGCATTACAGCATTTTAGGCAACGACGCCGGTGATATATGTGTAGTTCTTGTATTTAAGATTCCGTCTCAATATACATTTGCCAGTGCTAATAATGTTATTATCATTTTGTACGGATATTGTTGCAGATCTGCAAGCATTTATATATTGTAAAAGTAAATGTTATTTTCTGTTTGTACCTCTGCTCACTAAGTATGATTCAATCAGACAGAACACAAAATAGATGTCTTACTATCTGTCTCTCTCTCTATATATATGTATATGATTGTTCACAGACCCTTGGGAGAAAATGGCCAGATTACTAGTAATGAGTTTTGACCAGGTCAGAGTGAAAGGTCCCCAAAGGGCCATTATGTCGTCCAAGGGGTGATAATGACAAACTTAATTTGCAGGTAGTGTAGGTAGTGTACTAGAGTACTAACACTCTTGGGAGAGCTGATGTTTTACAGGAATTGTGCTGACTTATTGCTATTTGGAATGAAAATAAAACAAAATTTTCATGATAGTTCTTTTTTTCTTCTTCTCTAAATTATTTAATATTCAAAGTAGCATCTGTCAGTCTTACAGAATATAGTTATCAGAAACTAATGCATGGGAAACAGTTGAGAAAATTTAAATAATGCAAAATGAATGTCATTTGAGAACATGCACATTAAATACCTATGTAGTATATCATATTTTTTGAGAGAGAGAGAGAAAGGGAGAGAGAGAGAGAGGTAGCTTTACATAATGTCATGTAGCTTTGTTACATAATGATGATTATCATAATGCACCTTGTTATGGAATAATATATAATGCAGTCTTAAATATGCCCCCATATGTTTATCTGTCTTTGTTCAAATGGGATCTAATGTAGTAATATAAACCCAATTATGTGGAATTTGTCTCGGGGATAACCGAGTAATTAGCATTACCAATACTTAGATTGCTATATTGGATGGTGTATTTGATCTAGGGCTGTTATTGTACATAAAACATTAATAGCATTTAAACCCCTGTGCTATCTGATGTTGGTGTGTATATATGTGAATTATGCAAGATGTGATGCAATACATAAAATAAAATTGTGGATGTGTGCCAAAAAAGATTTGGATCATTTAGTAATCAAAATAGAGTTAACAAAAACTCAGTGCCAAATAATCTTACAGTGACACTATGTTTGACTAGTCTAAGTTTTTTAATTAATAGGCAAAACCATGTATATCCTTAGAGTAAACCCTCTACAATATGGTAGAAGGTAGAACCCTNGCTGCCCCTCCCCCCCCCTCTCGAGTCACCCTGCAAACACAGAATGTTATCATAACGTTACCATAACGCTTATATCCCCCCCCCCCCCACACACACACACACACACACCTCCAAAAAAAGTATCACTGAAATAACTCCTATTGCAATTTCTAGTCAACAAGAATTCCTAATAGGATTTGATATGGTGCTGACTAAATCAATCTTCTCATTGAAGTCAGCTGGCAATTTTGGTCCATAGTAATGACTGAATAATGGGAAGATTAGATGATTTGACTAATGCCAGAATGGGGACTGGAGAATTGGCAATTATTCTTTGTAATTTCAGTTGGTAATGGTACATTTTCCATTCACATGTTATCCAGACATGATTAGGGTAGGTTTGGGGTGCAATCGCGTGAGATTTACATTAGTCAGTTCTGAATCAATGTTGTCAAAGAACTATTATCTCAGTAAGTAGTTCTACCACTGGAAGAGAAAAAGAAGGGGAAAAAGTTAGGAACTTGAGCAACTGTGTTGCTTACATCAATTTATAATCTGAGTCTGTGGTCCTGAAGGGTTAGAGCCTTTTCATTGTGATGTGACATTCTCTGTGCTTTCCGTAAAGGAAGACTGTCTACCAGGACTAAATCTTAATTTTAATGAATTACAATAAGGTGAAGTGTTTTTGTACAAATGAGGTAGAGCATATTGCTTCTTACCATCAGTATGTAAATGTTTGTATTTATTTTTAAAAACAGATCAAGATAAAGCCAAACCATATTGCTTGGATGACAAATGAAAAAGAAAAAAGAGAAGAAAGAAATAATTTTATATGATTATTCCACAGCATGTACTTCAATCAAGTAATAAGTCAGAAACCAGCAGATTAAATGCTAGCAGTAGTGCTAAAGCGTACCAAAACTGATCCAGTCAAGAAGATATCATATTTATGACTGACATGAGTAGAGTAATGTGAACTTGTCACTGTTCTTTTCTCTACCGGACACTGTGCCAGTTATTATTCTGTGAAAACACCACCTGGGACTAGAGAGGGTTCTAAGGACAAGTTAATCTAGGGGAAAGAAAGATGGAACAATTTCTATTCGCATGATGTATGTTAATTATTAAATTGTTATATATTCACCACAGGGCCATCAGAGTAAGACTTTTGTTGAGAAGTTGCTTTAAGTTGAAGAGATTAAGTCCCTGGTATGGCATGGATGGGTTTTTAGAAAGATTGTGGTTTTAATTTGTGGCAGAACAGTATGAAGATTTTTCTTTCATTCACGTGTTTCCAAGAAAGAACATGATTATGGTAATTCCCCCCACAAAAGACTTAAATGAAGGTAATTTTGGTTCATTTTAAGATTTTTTTCTTATTGATAACCAGCTTTATGGGGAAGCATGTGGCTGTAGGTATAATCATATATATATATATATATATATATATATATATATATATATATATATATATATATATATATATGCTATAGTATATTAGAAGTTAAACTTTGTATATGCTTTTCTAGAATCTCAGACTTTTGGTAGGTCATATTTTTAGTTGACTTATAATGTGTGTAATC